CGATAATTGTCGATTGGTCACAATTTTTTTTCCTTTATCGGTTTTAATCGATTTTCAATGTATCAATCAATTTTATAGATAGTTATTTTATAGTGTCATGGATTACTTTATTTTTTGGATTATCCGCTCAGCCTCTATAATAACTGAGCCCCTCCTCGAATAAGCGCCCACAAAAATTGATTTATACATCTTCACAATTTATTAACTGTTTTGCGCAAAATAAGCATATTACTTGCTGAAAATAGATAGCCCCCAGCCTCGAAGAAGCGCCCACTATCAAATTCTAAAAACTTATTAAACGCCCAGGCGCTTTATCGAATAAATACAGTACTTGTAAACATAAGTCAGCTGCGTAGGTTGGAATGGAAGCGAACTGGTGGCCAATACTTTTATTGGCTAAGTCGATAAAAGCTATTTCTAATTATCGATTTGCTTTGCTATTTGAGCTTGATACTCACAGACTGATATATAATTAATGGCCACTACAACGTATCAGCTACTTATTATCAAATTGTCACCACCGCCATACTGTTATTGAGAAGAATTCCGTTATAGGATTCGACATATCGCGTTTAGTAACGCTGTTGCTACTGATATCTGCTTTATGCGGAGAATTGCGAAAACGTAAACGTTGATCATTAGGAATACACCGCCACAGCAAAGTGGTGAGAGATCTTTTTGTTTCTTAACTTGTCATGTTGCAATCTGAGATTTGTCTGAATTAAGTTTACAACAGACCATAAAGGTCTCTTGAGTTGTTTAAGGCTATCTTGCGCCGGATAGCTTTTCGTACTTTTCCAAATTCTATCCTTTATAGTATGAACACTTATCCGATGAGTGACTCTCCACTTCAGAGATCGGCACAGCGCGGCTTCGCTCCGTTAGAATAGAATGGAATCAATAGAATAATTCTTTATTTAAACACGATAAAATTCAATAAAGCTAACTACCCTAAACAACATGCAAAATTATCTACAACTGACCTAACTAAGACCTGTTTTTCATGAAAGCCGTGTACAAAGTACCTAAAAAATCAGAAATTCAGATGAGCCAATCGTTTAAATTGACTTAAAGATTAGCCGCTTTTATATCACAGGGCAGGTTGTTCCATAGAACTGCTCCGCTATAACTAAAGGTGTTCTTCATGAAGACAATTAGTTTGTTAACAGAGTCCCTTAAGGAGTAGCGCGTTTCATATCGTTTAACAAATTTAGAGGATAAATATCCTAGGACAAGATCATTTAACAACTATTAAACCATTAGGGCTTTTTGTATTTGAACCTGAGTGCTCAAGTCTTTCCATTAAGTTGTCTAAATAAGCGGTTGGCATCAGCATCACATCTAAATCGGTTCTGAAGCTTCTGTAGCATGTCAAACAAAGTTTCTCCGTCACAGAAATCGTGCTCAAGTGTGAACAGAAGCCTTATCCGATATGATTTTCGGCAACGGTGCACCGAGTAGAACCTGCTGATTGTAGACTCCGTTACTCGTGAAAAACAGTTTCCATGACGGACCTTTCAATGCTACTCTCTTTGAAATTCGTGCGATGCCGCGCACAGGTGCTTGTCAAACACTTCAACGGCATCCATGCGAGAAGTATATCGCTGATTCACTGAATCATGGTTACTTTGAGCATTGGGAATTGCGCACTGCACTACGAAGCAATTGTTTGGTGGTCACTCAAGCGTATCATTGCAGTGAGTTTCTTATGCACAAATGCCCAATGCCCAATGCACAATTGCCAATGACCAATTGCCAAAGCAGACTTTATTTATCATAAGGTATAAGTTGGACGACCGTTTCTAATTCTTTAAAAGAGTCGAGGTGTACGGGTTATTTTATATTGGTACAATAATTGCTTATTGGGTTAACGCAGGAGAATCTATATCGTCTGTACTCTGAGCTCCTAACATTGTTTTCTTCTATGAATAATTAGTCATATCTTCCACATCAAATAATTAATTACTTTGAATGTCTCTTAAGAGGAGTATTTTTCCTTGGAGCCTGTATATTTGTTTTCTTTTTCACTTGTATTTATTTGAGTAAGTTCTTGTCCACAAGTGTACTTATCCTTAGCTATTTTTTTAACGAACTGTGTTTGTTTGCTTCTTTGTTTTTTTTGCGTTTTGGGCTTCCTTCAACACGTAACCCGGCGATCCGAATCCGCTTTTCCGTACTTAATATGAGTGGACGGCTGAAAACGAATATTTTCGAAGACCACAGAGTAACAGTATACGTGATCTCACACAGGAGAAAGAACGCCATTGAACTGTCTCGGCTTTTTTTAAAGATTTATAAGATATCTGAAGTTTTTTTTTTCTTTCAAGAAGTTTTTTTTTTCTTAGATAGTGACTTGAGGTGTGAGTTTGGGCGATACGTTTAAGTGCTTAGCGAGACATGCTTCTCCAGCAAACATTTTTTTGAGGAAAAAGAGGGAGAAGTTTAGACTGATTCATTAAAGACATTTCCACATCAACATATGTTTCATTTCAAACAGAATGGGATATGTTTCGACGGGGGCAACGATTCAAACAAAAGGGGCAATTTGTTTGCAACCAAAAGAAAAGCCTTTTTTCAAATGAATGCGGATACTTGTGGACAAGCCCTATAAAAAGATAACATAATATATTAAGTATCATGCATGTAAATGTTAGTGAAACTACCTAGCTTCCATTTACTGGTCGTAGGCGTTAAATTAATTTACATTCTAGCTTCCTTTAGACCGCTGTGGGTTGTTTGCCATTTAATATTTTTAATTAAAATTTGATGTGGGTCACTGCCGGGCGTCTAAAATTTAAATCGGGACACTATTAAATTAACAGCAGCTAAATTTGCTGACAGAGACTATTGCCTAGAGAAGGACATCGAGAGATACTGACAACACATCACTCTGCAAGCTGTCGCAGGAAACTCGAAAAACTATTTTAATCGAGACTAATGCACCTATCAATGTAATGCCGGCGGAGGGAGGGGGGGGCATAGGGTGGGGATTTGACTTTTTTCAAAAATTTGCAATCAAATTCCCTGCCCACGGGCAAATCGTTCCAGTCAAATGCAACCAAATTTCCCCACCCCAGAATGCACACTGCTGTCCATCCCAAGGCAGAACCTAAGAAAGGCACAATAAAAATATCTCCAAATAAAACTCTGCAATCTTTTATAAACGTTGCTGCATCACCAAAGATACATGTTCCTGTTACAGCTGCAATAATATTGTACGTTCTAACCATAATCCGTGTTACACTGCGTAGAATACATAAACCTTTCGCAGGAAATCCACATTTTGTAAGTCTAAATATACCGTTCTGAGTAAAGGGTAAAAGAAAGTCAGTTTTATAAGTTTACAGTGATTGTAGCGAATGAGCCATACACTAATCAATTGTACTTGCAAAAATCGACTCGGTTTCTCTTTACTTCCGTTTACTTTGATACCACAGTATTTTAAGAGGTTCAATTGATCATAAACACGCTAAAACAAACGAAATTTGAAGACAAAACAGTGAAATCCACTCAGCCTTCGCTTGTTTTCATTGGCCTTCATGACTTCCTGATCTTTTCAAACCGTATGGCGCATGCGTGAAGCGTGGAAGGGGGAAACATATATTCGGTCTCAGTCTTTTTCGTCCGAGTCGGCAGTCAAATATCTCCACGTCCGGCGAAGAAAGATTCAAATATCCCTTCCCCCGGGAGAACAAGATCAGTCAAATGCCCTACCCCAGGGACAACAAAGACAATCAATCAATCGTTTTATTGTTAACAGCCATGAAGATAAGAATTCCTCAACGGTTTAAGAGCAAAACAACAACGTTGAACGTAAAAACGTCTTTTTTTGTGTACACTGTTCGGTATAGTCACTGAACGTCAAGGCATGAAATTTCTTAATGCAACGCTTAATAGTGCTAAAAAACGTAAACAATTGGTGACTTTTTACTTTCTCTACCTGAATTTTTTAAATTCCGTCTCCACGAAAATTTACCGGCTTCAACTTCTTAATAGACTAGGATGCATGCCAGCGGTTTCATAGTTTTGTTTGTCACAATATGGTCTTGGGAAGTAGAGAGAAGCTTGAGTGATTTGATCAAAAGAAGGCTCCTTTGAGCTTATAATTGCTACTTGATACTATTTCACAGGCTAACTAAATTCACTCCAGCTCACCTAGTGGTCTTTTTTTTGTGCTATCATTTTATCGAAATTAATATAAATGAGGGATGAGCTGGGCGAATGGACAATTAAGGGAGAACTTCCAATTCATGGTGGGAAAATGATTGAGTAACACTTCATTTTTCTTTCATCACTGAGGCAGGCACTAAAGACGAAGTTGGGCTGCCGAAGCTTTCAAAAACCTGTCCCTATTGTCCAAAATAAGTTTCTAGCATATTTAGTTTATGTCATTCAAACATGTTTATTTCTTGGCGGTTTCTTCCTGAGTACTTATGCAAATGTTCGCCCTTGTGAATTTTTGCTTTTGCAATGAATAAGAGAGGAAATAAATGATAAGAAAAATTAGCTGCAGACAGATCGAACTTCTTTGGATGTTCCAATATTGTAAAGGAACATAATTTGTCTTTAATAAAGTGTTCTTTAGCAATTAGCAAAACACTTTATATGTATATATATTTTTTCAGCCATGACTGCGAGAATAGTTTTCCGTATCTCCGTCCTGGTTCTCCTGCTTTACAGCGCAGTAACTCAGAAATGTCCTGGAGGTGGTCCATCCGAGAGATCCATCTTGGGCTGGATGTTACAGGGACACGTGTACGACACTCTTCTCGCTGAACGCCCGTTTACCTGCGTATTGAAGTTTGAACTGGGTTATCTCTCTTCTAACGTGCGAGTTAAACAACAGGACAAAGGAAGCCAGGCCTGAGGACTTCATTCCAAACCCAGACAGATCTTACTATCGACGTGATTTAGAACGAGGTGAGCCTGCATAAAGTAAAAACTATGCAAGAGTAAAATTAAAGTAAACTGATAAAATAAACACTGCTTTTAACCTTACAGTTCCACTCGGCTCTATTCAAGAACTACCAGCTGAGTCTTGTGACGAAATAAAGAGAAGTGAAGGACACGCTGTCAGTGGGAAATACTGGTTTTCCTCGATAAAATCTGGTACATCCGTTCTGGCTTATTGCAATATGGATACCACCGGTACGTTAAGCCTTCGACCGATGAAAAGTAAGCCTGGACTAGGCTCGTCTCCGTTCGCACCCCGATTTTTATTATTATTTATATCATTATTTTTATTTTCTATTTTCTGTTCTTTTTCCCGCCTTTTTCCCCACTGTGAAGACTGGCCTGAGACAAACAAAAAGTCAGTATCATAACATAATTTGAGGTTACTTTTCCGACTTCGGGCATGCACAACTGTATCCGTTCTAAGATAATACCACAGATTAATATTAATTACTCATAGCTGGAACTTTCGTATAAAGCCTCATAAACTAAGTTTTGTTAAAGCATGGGCTTAAGTTACACGCGCGGGGATAGAAAGTCTGAATTTTGTTCTTATACCAACCAAATAAGTATCTCACTAATGGTCCTTTTAGAACACCCTATATTCTTCCCATAGCAGTTTAGAGATATGTGTTCCTTTTTCAGATGTTGACGAATGCAGTGCTTCTTCTCCTGTATGTGACAGCAATGCCAACTTCTCCAATAGTCGTGGATCGTATATCTGTACCTGCAGGGCAGGATATACAGGCGATGGAAAAACATGCCAAGGTAGGTTTGAAAATGTCAAGTTAACACAGAGGGTTAGGGACGTTTTTCTTTATACCAACCAAAAACAAATTTCACCAATTGTCCTGTTAAAACACCCTTTGGTCTTCCCATATTGCAGTTTAGTGATATGTGTTCCTTTTTCAGATGTTGACGAATGCAATGCGTCGTCTCCTGTATGTGACAGCAATGCCAACTGCTCCAATACTCGTGGATCGTATATCTGTATCTGCAGGGCAGGATATACAGGCGATGGAAAAACATGCCAAGGTAGGTTTGAAAATGTCAGGTCAACACAGAGGGTTAGGGAAGTCTTTTAATCTTACATCTTGTGGCAACAATGAAAAAACTTTCCTAGCAACCTTTCATTTTATCCGACAATGGCGGCTGTTAAGAACGGCTATTAACAACAGCCGTCGAATTTTTGTTTTCGCAGCCAAGTGAGATCATGCCTTGGGCTGTGTTTCTTACCCTCTGTACTTATTAGACTCGTTAATAGAAAATCATGAAACAAAATAGGCAAAAAATTAACAAATGATGGAGAATATTTGATACGGCCTGTGTAGAACGCCATGACCCACTTCAATTATACCCAAAAAGTGAAAACAGCTACAGCAAATGCGGTAAACTAAAGCTAAATGTAAGCCTACCGGGGTGGCCAGAAAAAACCTTTCCCAAACAAACTCGTCGGGGAAAAGACAAGAAATTTGGGACGGGCAAGGCACAACTTACTTCGTTGGCTGCATAAAAGGTCTGCAAAAGTGAACAAAACCTAGAGGCTGTATAGGCTGCGCGTAATATCCCACAGGTTTATTTTATAATAGTAATACCAGAGTTAAATACTACTGACTCCTAGCTGGAACTTTTGTATAAAGCTTCATAAACCAAGTTTTGTTCAAGCAAGGAGTTAAGTTACACGAACGAGGATAAAGAGTCTGAAATTTTTCTTTATACCAACGAAATAAATGGCCAGAAAAAAACCTGTCCGAAGCAACCTCGTAGGGAAAAAAAAACAGGAAATCTGGGGTGGGAAAGGCACAGCTTACTTCGTTGGCTGCATAAAAGGCCTGCTCAAGCGGACAAAACCTAGAGGCTATACAGGCTGCACGTAGTAATTTGCAAACAATGCACCAGACGTTGTGCAAATGAATACTGGCTTGACCTCAGCTCTGTGCTAGCATTCAGTTTGCTTTTGAGACAGGTAATACCAAGGCTATGTAGAAGGAATCAACCAGGCACTTGGTCCTTCTCAGAAGGAAACAGCCCCCTTCAAATCTGCTACAGGCGAGATAATTATCCAGGACGGAGCGCAACAGAAAGAGCGCTTTGTAGACTATTATTTTAAGCTGTATGCCAGACTGAGGTGGTGCCTGAAGAAGCCCTGATGAACGTCATAAAATGCTAACCTCTTCTGGAGGAGCTGGATATTGAACCTACAGAAGAGGAGGTGAAAGAGGCTCTGGGTTCGCTTTCCTCTGGAAAAGCGCCCTGTCAGGACCGTTTTCCAGCTGAAATCCTGAGGTGCATGCAGCAAAGACGATGCCTTCAGCAAGCTCTACAAAATCCTGTCTGTGCTGGCAAGAGGTTGAGGTACCATAAGACATGAGAGCGGCAAACATAGGGACCGGAGAGACTGTTTCAACTATCAATGCAAGGCATCACACTCCTTACCATCGCTGAAAAACTGTTTGTTCAAGTTGTCCTAAAGTGTCTCCAAGCGCTTGTAGAGGGAGTTTATCCAGAGTCACACTGTGGTTTCCAGGACAGACGCTAAACTATTGATTTGATATTCTCCACCAGACAATTACATGACAAATGTAGGAAACAGAGACCCCACTGTATATCTCATTAAGTGACCTCACTAAGGCTTTTGATCTAGTAAGCAGAGTTGGGCTCTTCAAAATCCTCTCGGAAATTGACTGCCCAGCGAAAATCTTCGGTATCATCAAATCTTTTCATAATGATCAACCTCTGATACCTTTAATATGGTTCCCACCTTATTTGGAATCGTCTTCGTCATTCTGCTGAAACACGCCTCTGGACCTTCAACTGAAGGAATGTACCTCCGAACGAGATCTTATGGTAAATTCTTCAGCCTTACCAGATGGAAAGCCAAGACCAAGATTCGTGAGAAGCGCTTACGCAACTTTCTTTGCGCCGATGATGCAGCAGCAACCACACACTCTGCGGATAAAGTGCAACAACACATGAATCGCTTTAGCTCTCCCTGCAAGTGTTTCAGACTTACTATCAACCTGAAGAAAACACAAGTAACTGGACAAGATGTCACCAGTCCACCTAGCATCAAAATATTTGACCAGCAGATTGAAGTTGTTCATGATTCTACATCCATTTGTTCTACTTGAAGAGAAAGTATCTGAGTCCGCGATATTGAGTTAAACAAAAGAATAGAAAAAGTAGCAACCACAGTGTTTAGTCACTCAAAGAGAGCAACAAACTGACCGAACACACCAAGGTCATGGTATATAAAGATTGCGTGCCGAGCACCATCTCGTGTGCTGGCGATTCCTTGACTTTTCGTGTCAACGAGAAACGCAAACATAACGACGCTGAACTCAGTTTGGTTGGTTGTGAGTTGTTACCATTCATTGGGGTTTTCGTTACCAATATGAAGCTCAAATTTGGCGAGGATAAGATACATCTATGACACATTACGTTTATTGGGTTAAATGTTAGATATCGGTCGTTGCTATGATTACACGCAGGGGTTTCAAAAAGCACTGACGACTGCCGAAACTTGTCAATTACTTTACTCGGAGAAGCCGGCTACTTTTTTCCCAAAAGAAGAAACAACAAGTTTTAATTATTTCGTAAAAAAAAGCTATAATAATATCATAGAATATAAATAAAACAGTAATGATAATATTGCATAAAGTCATGCAGGGTACTTGTATTTTATGTTTTTATAGTTAAGAAAATGCGGTGTTTGGTCATACCCCGGAAGCTAGGGACGTTTTGCTTAACCAGTGACGATGGATTTTGATAGATTAGAGCACCTTTGATATTTTTGGCTAGCTACAATCCCGGACAAAACTACTTGAGAAAGGTTTCCCCATCATGTCCACTTTCCTTTCCGCAACAAAACTATTTCCAAAACGACGCCTTTGCGGGAAGAAAACCCCTTCCTCCGATTCAATGTTGCTTCCCAAAAACTCCCAGGGATCAGGCTTTCTTTTGAATACACAACAACATTGCTTTCAGGGGAAGGGGGAGAGGGAAGAACCGGTACAGCTACGATTTTTAGAAAAATGCTGTCCAAGTATACAATTTTCTCAACAGTTTTGTCCAAGATTGTAGGTGGTTAGTGGTTTCAATTTTATAGCTATGCTTTTAAAAGCCGGCAACAATGAAAATAAATTCAACAAGAAAACGAGGCTGAAAGTCGCAGCCATATAAATTCTGAGAAACGCACTCCACGAGAAAACCAACATGCTCATACATCTCCTTAGACTTCTCCAAGATACTTTTAGCAAAGCCTTACCGTTTGTTTGCTTGAACGTTTGAACGACTATTTCGGAAAACGAAACCTGTGCAAATTTCTCTAGAAGTGAGTGTACTCGAAATAAACGAAAGGCAAGTTTGAACGCTGTAACTAAATTAAAGCGAACGGCTACAGTTCCTGATGACATCCCTTTCTGGGTCTGGAAGGATTATGCCGAACTATTAACGACAGTTAAAACTCAAGTCTAGAATTTGCCGCTGTCAACTCACAGCTAGCTGGACTCTTGGATGAGGGCGAACATCAACCCCTTACCAAAGATCGACCCCACTATCCCCAACGAGAATTCTGACCGGTACAGAAGCATCAACGTCACGTCCGTGATCGCAAGAACATTCGAAAAAGTTGTGTACCACACCCATGTTCAAGTGGTTATAGAAAAGAACCTTAGCCCCACCCAATTTGCATACAGGCAAGAGGGTAACTGCACAAACGCCTTATCATCTATTCAACACCATGTATATAGACACCTAGACAGCAGTGACTGTAAGGCACTTCGTTTATTTACAATGGATTTTAGCAAAGCGTTTGATTCCGTAAATCATAGCAAGTTATCACCTAAACTTAAGCAGCTACCCCTCAATCCTTACATCGTTAACTTGTACCATACAATGTAGTTTTTTGTTTGCTACGCAACAGCGAATTTTCTACAATAATCAACTCTGTAACTGGAGGGTCGTTAATAAGGGAACCACCCAAGGAAGCGTAAGCGGGCCTTACCTGTTTAATATATTTTTGAATGACCTAGAAATTTCTTATAACAATGTTCCTGCTCAATTAAATATGCTGATGACTTTACAATAGTGTCTCCTGTTACCGTAAAGTTCCCATAGTAGCGACCCTTGTTACTTTCGGGGGGTCGTTATTTTCGGGAACCAAACACCATAAAACAAAGTTGGCGCTAGCTCTTTCCAACAACATTTTATTTGTGTTATAAGGAATAAGTAACAGAGATATACCTACTAAATACAGCAATAGTTTGATTAAAAAAGAGAGCAATGATTAACAAATGAGAAGGAATTCATTTGTCCAGTTTCATACGACGAATGATAGTTTCAGGCATGCCAGGTTGTTGCCTTGTTTTAACGTGCCGTATCATGATAAATTTGTGAGTGCACGAAGATATTTATTTAGTATTGTAGATTAAAAATTTGACTATGGATTGCAAATAGAATAAAACAACTGATAAAGGCATTCGGTATGTTTATAACGTAATTAAAAAAAAAAAAACTTAGTCTCGATACTCTTTGCCGGGTCTCGCTACTTTCGGGATTTATAAGAAGTCACTAACTTTTGACGTTACTTTCGAGGGGCCGTTACTATGGGAACTTTACGGTAGCAATAAATGTGATCCGTCTGCTAACTTGTGGAACATGTCTAGAGAACACGTCTTGCAATCCGGAAAATGTAAAAAACGTACCTTCAGATGAAAAAGCAACAATTCTCAATATAACCCAGTATTTGACGAGTGTAGCTAAATGTCGTGGCTCGTGGGTACGTAGTGGGTAGAGGCTGGGGGTCGTGGGTATGGGTAAAGGTCGTGGGTAAAAAAAAAAAAAAAAGCAAAAAGTTGTAAAATTCATGAAACGAAAATCTCCGCTTACATACCAGGAGTCCTAGTCCCCTTCCTTGCGGTCAGCAAAGCAAATAAGCGAATCGTTTACTACAAACGGACACTAAAAAGACATTCAGGCGAAAAATAAAAGAAACTCTGTAAACTATATATGTAAACCTGAAGCAGGCTAAACAAAAACTGGAGACTAAACTGCTGTTTCTCAAAGATGTCAACATTCGTGACTGAAACGTCCTTTTCAGTTTAAGGAATGATGTTCAGAATCGTTACAGCAAAGATTTTATACAAAAAAAACAAACAAAACAAAAAAGAATCGAGAAAATTGATATTTCCGCACGGCAATAAAATTTACGTACAGTCTAGCCTTGACTTGAAAGGTTGAGCATGAAAGTGGTTCCTCCGTAATCTAAGAGACCTAAAACGTCTTTAAGAAAGACTTCTATCCAAAAATATGAAATGGCTCAAATTGTCTTTTTTTTTTCCTCAATTCACTCCCCCTTCCCATTGATTGCATTCTATCATGTTAAAAAAATCTCCGCTGATAATTGGGATTGTATACGTAGATTGAATTAAGAGTAATTATAGTAAGCAGCTACAACCAGCCTAGGGCAGGAGGTTGAAACAGCTATTTCCATTCAGCGAGTCAGAGCTGTCCCATACTTTCTGCAAATTGCACGTTTCTACATACTTTACGTCTGTTTCGATTATTTCGCGGTGATCGCTCAGACATGGATAAATCTTCATCAGTAACATGTCTTTTATACAGTGATGTAGCGAAAGAGGACCCAAGTCCCACATGGCTAAGAAAATATCAGGAAGAAGACGAAGAAGAAGCCGCGAAAAGTCGGACAATCAAGGAGTCGGAGATTTTTGTTTCATAAATATTTTACATATTTTTCTACTTTTTTTTTTAATTACTTTACTTAATCATTTTTTTGTATACTTTTTTTACCCACGACATTTACCCACACCCACGACCCACGACATTTAGCTACACTCGCAGTTTTGTCGTCCTATGGAAATAATACAACAGGAGTATCGCAGATAATCTGTGTGAAGTGTCAGCGGGAAGTTTTAAAATTTTCGAAATGGAAAAAAATTCCGGAAAAAAAATGTAACGAAGGCCTAAGAAATCAGTTTGGAGAGTGCCACTTGACACGACAGAAGCGCTGCGCTAAGGATTCTCAGGCCGAGTCAGTTCTAACAGACGGACTGAAAAAAAATCCGCTTTGCCTTAGCAGATTCAGCCTTGAGAAGAACGCAGAAGTCACATTTGCACTGAAGCGATTGATAAACCGACATTCAAAGGACACAGCATCGTAACGAATTTTAAATCATGCTTCTACCAAAGATGTGACAAAACTAACGTTAAAGAATTCACGCTGAGTACAGCTACACATTGTACTGTGAGATCGCGTAAACTTCAACTGTACGGAGATATTAAAAGCCGATATCTTAGATAACAGCAGTTATGGAAAATTATCATAATTAGTTTTGCACGAATCTTATAAAGGAACAATTTATTCAACAGGCGGGAATACGCGCGTCTTGACTATTGCATAAAGGTGCTGCTAAACTTACACATTTTTCCTTTACTGAACATAAACTGTACCGAGGCGTGTCTTGGTCCGCTACATAGAGGCTATATCATCGTTCAATTTTTTAAGTGTAAAATCCCTGAAAAAGTTCTCCTCACTGAAGCAACAGGTAAAAGATTTTCATTTTTCGGCCTGGAACCCTATGTGAGTTTTGCATCGAGGCAAATAGAACTCTTACCCTCCCCCCAAGGAACATTTTTCATTACTTCACACTCACCGAAGTTTCAAATTTGCCGCCTCGGTAGTCATCGGAATTTTGCATGCGTGAAGACGCCATTGTTTAAACCATTTCAAAAATGACCAAAGATGGTCAATTTTACAACAGAAAACAAAACCTATTGTTTTCGAGTTTGATCCGCTTTTCTTGATACTAATGGTGACGTGCTTAGCAGCACACACAGTATATGCAACTATAATTTGGTGCCATGATGGCGACGTCAGCGAAAACAAATAATGAATTCGCGTTCTTTTAATCGTGATTATTATTCATTCAAAATATTTCTCCGATTCTGATTGGCTAAAAGAACACGTTTGATTCACCATAACCAGTTACTGCTGACCAAATTGGGAAGAATTTTGTGTTTAGCGAGGAAATGACGTCAAAAATGTAGCGTTCTTGCGGGTTAATACCCCGTTAACCGAGAAGACCTGGGGACGAGGTTGAGTTGTTTTGGTTGTGAACTTGAAAAATGGCGGACATTTCACTCGTTTCAAGAGTAAGAACTAGGCGAAAAAATAGCTGAAAACATGGCAAGAACAGCAAGAAGACAACTCGAAGGGCGACATCTGCTACTTAGAGAATATTTGTGGAGCTGAACAACCCTAAACGTGCACTATCAAAGATGAACTTAACATCGATGGATCGATGGAGGTAAGCATGTTTTAGCTATGTTTTTAAACTAGGAATTATTTTGAATGAATAATGAAACAATTATTGAATTCGGCTTTCGTCTCATATGAAGAATTATGGAGATCTCGGAAGGTGTTATCCGCCTCGGCCTACGGCGTCGAAGGATAACACCCTCCTCGATTTCCATAATTCTTTATAAGATACTCAGCCTCATACATTAATTGTTAATTATTCCATCTCGCTAATACTAAACGTTCGAGGTCAGAGTATTATGGAATGCATCCAAACTTAAAAAGAGAACGAAAAATTGGTCATGTTCTGTTTACCTTGACCCAAAAAGCGTAAATTAGGAAATTTTACGTCGTATTCGATGTACAACAGGGTAAAAGAACTTTGATCCAATCGAGATTAATTGTGAGGATTTATAGTGTGTGAACAAGCTAAGATCTTTGTACCCTTTGTTTGTGTGTGTGGACTGAGTAATCGTACGTACATTTATTATAGGTGCGCTTGCACTCACCATGGTAAAAGGTATTTGCCACGTTAGCAAAGCCGTGGTAAACTTTAACGTGGGTTTAGTTCACCGTGATAATGTGCGGTTACAAATGAGTAATTCCTAAGGCAATTTAGACGCTTTTAAGGCTTCATTCGCCCTTTTGCGGTAATAATCGCCTTCAGTCATGGCATTATTTCATGTTATGTTGAAAATTTATGGGTAATTTAGCTGAAGTTTCAAGTTATATGTTAACCCTTATAATTTAGCGAAGGTACATAGCATTTTTTTTTTTAATCCTGACCCTGATATGTCTTTTTGCAATTGCATCAAATGGAAACTCGGAAACAAATCCGAGCCTCAGATGGGATTCCAACCTATCGTGATCTAGTCGGATGCTCTAACCATTGAGCTATTGGAGACTCGATGGCCAAGGCGAGTAAGGGCGAAATGTGTTTCTTTTACAGTTCAGCTGCATCCCACTTTTCAAATAGACACATACATACATATTAATTGGCTCGTCCCACAAGGCTTTTCAGTGTCAATGTTACAGTAATGATATTAAACGCAGAAAGCTAAAACACAAAAAAATTATTAACTAACTGTAGGAGGCATCCAGGGAACTCATCTAAGTTGATGCTTAAAGCTTTTAACGGATTCTCTTAGCTTGAGCTCTGGTTGCAATTTATTCCAAAGGGACGTCGCTCTTATTCGAAGGACCTTTGGCCACTAGCAGTGCGGAAGAGTGGTATTATCAACATTTCTGAGTTAAGGTTGTCCTTGTCGAAACGGCCGATCTTTTAACGAACTTTGATGTTAAGTACGCTGAAGCACACCCAGTCATGCACTTAAATACTAAAACAGCAAGTCGAAGGTATAGCTGTTGCTTGACTGGGAGCCAGCATTACATGCCAGGAATAGAACATATTTTTGCAAAATATCGTTTCTACTTCTGGCCCATAAAACAGTTCAAATTTTCGCCTTAAAATGCTCCTGTTACTTCCATCTGAAAGTAAAATCTGTCATGTCAACATCGATTTTTCTCTCAACAGCGCGAAAGAAACCCGTTTAAAAAATGGAATTTTTTGCGGTTTCATGTTGATGTTAAATGTAGAAACCTGATTGGCTCTCTTGTCTTGGGTATCGAAAACTCCTAGCTATTCACCACGTTAAATGTCGTGGGCAGTTTCTTTCTCTTTTTGACTTAACCACAGATGCAGCAAGTTTATCTCAGGAAAGTCCGGTCACACGACCCTCGCCAATTTCCCGCGGTAAAAGGGTCATATACCATGTAGCCTGTTCCAGGATCTAAGATAGTGGGGAGGACTCGACAATGAAAGGTGCGCGAAAAGGGGGGCTGGGCTTGAAAAAGGAGAAGGGAATAGGAGAGAGAGAGAGAGAGCCTTTAATCATTTCTTTTACGACACTCTTCCGCCCACTTCTGAGATAATTAGATTTCGACTGTCAAACTGTTGAAATGTACATGAGTGAGGATCTGTCTCAAATTTCTCGCGCGAGTATTTCGCGCGGCGCTTATCGCTTCAGAGTGTAAAAAGGGGGTCAGTAGGCAACACACCACTCTTACCTCGTACCAAATGCTGCTTGTTCCAACGAATTTTTTCTTCTGGTGTGTAGATTATGCTCTGGAGGGTTCTACGTTTAAACTGAGCAAATGTGATTTTCGCCGCTTTTTTTCAGGCTGAGAGGCTGTGACACACATAATGACTTTTTTGCGGTTATTGTTTCTGGTCGGCATGATTTGCCCTCTGATGCACGACCTTTTTTGAAACGTAAAGTTCTTCTGTGAAAGGTTTGAACCCAGGAGTCATTTCATAAGTAGTTTGAGTTTGATCGTCCGGGTGAACGCAGTCCTGAATAGGACTGTTGTTGTTGACAGTAACTGACGTTTCGACAACCTGTGCGGTAGTCACCTTCAGAGTCAAAGTGAGTTGCATCACGTCAGTTGATGATATAATGTCAATGACCTGTAATCATTTCAGAGTATAGTATCATATAATAATAGTATAACATGTTAGTATAATTAACAATTATTCCTCGAGCCCGAATTGGCTCTGAGTCAATAGCCTATGAGGCCGAAGGCCGCATGGGCTATTGGCTTAGAGGCCATAAGGGCGCGAGGAATAATTGTTTTAGTAAAATCCAACTAGTTCAAAAATATCGAGTCAAAAATATCGAGAATAAAAAAAAATTAGCTAGTTAAAGCTAGACTTAAATCGTTTTTTGCGGCCAAAAAGCCGGCGCTTTTCGCTACTAGTGGGCTATAACATATAGCCTAGTAGTAGCTCAACCAATCAGAACGCAGCGTTGGTAATAGACCACTAGTTGGATTTTACTAATATGCAATATCCTCTATATCCGAGGTCGTAATACATTCTAAACTCGATCCCTATCATGAAAAACCCCAGATTCTACGACCACCTTTATCTCTTTTCCTTGAGCCTTGTCCTCTTAATTACTTCAATTTACTGACACTCATCGAAAGCAGAATAACACGTGCTCGACTTAAAGTATCAAGTTAGTTTAAATTTTGCGTTCAAATGTTTTTCAGAGAAGTGGAAGAAGATCAATACTGACCCAGTCTGCTTTGGAGCTCGAGATGACTCATATAGGGCTTTCAACATCAGAGAGAGTGGGGTCATTTATACCTTTAAACTCGTTCATCTTAGTGGGTCAATTAGATGTAACACAGTACACCCACCTTCTTATTGGGGATGTGACAATCCCTGGTTTGGAGTCACGAGACTCCAAACCGTCATAACGTTCAAGAACAGATCCGCTCTTTTGCTGGCAGATTACAGGGAAAAAGGTTGTCACTATTCATATAAGATCGAAGGTGTAGGTGTTAATGAGACCGAACTTCGATTTAACAATCTTCCCACTCCAATGTCTGTGTCTGTTGGAGATGAGTTTCAAATTTGGTACACACAAGACTTAAAGGACTGTGGAGAAGGCAATAACAGCGGTCAGACATGTGCTGATGTTTATGCGTGGTACGCGTGAATTAAACGATAAACAATACAGACCAGGGAAACCTTTAAAATGCAAATGCATTTCAATCTAATGGATTAAATTATGGCTGACTTTTATGTTATGTAAGCCCTGTTTCAAAAGTGTTGTCTGTTCATGGATATAAGCTCACAGCAAGGGCTATTGAAACTAGAGAACCGTGCATTTTTGGCGATTAATCAAGTAGAAAGAAAATCTTTAATAAGTAAATCCAATAAAGGCAGCAGTAAGAATTTAGCCTGTGAACAGGCCTTTGGTCGAGAGGGGAACTTTCCTTGCTATTTTTTTCCCCAAACAGAGAGCCTGTTCAGAGGAACCTCGACATAACGAACCTCTATATAACGAAGTCCTCAGTATAAAGAACGATTTTTTTTTAAATTCTTGAAGTTTTGGATTTTATAAAGCTCTTGCTTATAGCTGTATACCGAACATAAATTATTAGAACAAGAGCTAACAAGCAACCTCGTTTCCAGTGTTGTCTCTCTTACCTTTGGAAGAACCCTGGTTGTGGCTAGTCACGTGGCTCCCAAAATCTGGCTTTGCCTCAAGGGTGGGGTGGTTCGTATAAAATTGTGTTTGATGTGAGGAAGACACAAAATACACTGGAGAGTTTGCAAACTAGTGAGAATTGATTTGAAGTATGTCAGTCATCAGAACACGTTTATAGCCAAGGTTTTCCCACATCACACACGGTGTTTTCGACCTGAAAATGATTTTGGTGGTGGTTGACTCATGGACTTGCTCTTTTATGTGCATTTCCTAAAATAATATCAATTTCCTGAAAACACTTTACTGCCTGGAGTTTGACATGAGCTCATATTTGCTCCAAGAACAAGCTTCTGTTTGAGCAAAACAAATAGAGTTTATTGCTGCGCTTTTCACAAACACGCGAACTCTAAAGTTCAAAAGCCGCCTTCACAATTGCGTTTTTCGCTGCCGTCAATAATATTTACGATCACAAGCAACGAACCTGGAAACAAAGAAACCCACAAAACGGATCGAAATCCACCAATCACAGATCACAAATCATGACCTTTTGAACTCGTTAAAGTAAATTTCTGTTTCCTAAGAGGTCCGCCGAGATGACTGACGGCGGCGAAAAACGAAAAACGTCAGTTGGCTTTTGATGAGGAGTCCATTGTCACGGGAAGCCACATGACTAGCCGCAACAAGAGTTCTTTCTCGAGGCAAGAGAAGGAACCCGAGGAGCGAGATTGTAGAATAATCAAATTTCTCAGACGTTCCCGTTATGTGCAGCAAGTATTCTCAAAAGAAACGCAGCAGGTATGAAATGAGAAATGGTTATGAAGCCTGTCAGATCTCTTTGTTATATTTTTTTTCTTAGCCTTTTCTCGCGGACATGACGGTGCTCAACGTTCAATGACATTCCTGTCATTTTACTTGTTTTTGGTTGTTTGTTGCTGTTGTTGTTGTTGTTGTTTTCACAAATAAAAACGTTGCATTAAGTTGTTAAATCAATTTTTGAACAGAACACAAAGGATTGCGCACTGTCAAGGAGCTTCCAGCTTAATCGAAATAAAGTGCGGCACGCACCGTTGATTTGATCTTTAATTTTACGTTTGCTGGCTTTCATGACCAGTTTCCTCTACTGAAACTGCAAATATGATGGGGCATGGATAGTATATGCCCCATTTGCATTCTAATGTAAATATATCACATATTCTTTCCAGAATGAATACTGTTACAAAGTGTTAGCTCTTTTTACTTGAAAAAAAAAAAAAAAAAACTGCCAAAGCTAAGAGTATGTTTTTCTGTATTATGCTTTTGAACTTGGGTGAATGAAAATAACCTGTAATAACCTGTAATAAGTAGCTTGTACCGACGGTGACACAGGCTTAAAAGGATACCTTTAATTTCTTTTATTCATGAGCTCACGCATAACAATATAAGGGACATTTTAATTTAGCGTTACTTTATACTTTTATTGCCACTTTTCCTTGAAAAGTGCTAAGGCGTTTCTACAAAATTTCCACTAGAAAAAGGGGGTAGTCAGTAGTCAGTAAACTAAAACTTTAATTTAGCACTATAATACAAATAAAGAACTCTGTTAAAGCACGTGGAAATATACTTAATTGCTAATATATAACGGAGAAGAAACTGTCATTCAGGTGAATAGCCCGGGTTCGATATATGAAAATTCTAACATGACTCTGAGGCTTTAGGTTCAAAATTGCAGATTTTACACGACTTCGTTATCTCACAATTCCCAGAGGAGACTTGAGCACAAAGAAAAGCAAACCAAATATATACAAAATAACCAGAAAGCCTCGGATTCATCTTAGAATTTCAACACATCGAGCGTGGGCTATTCTCCGGTAAAGCAATCATGTCATGATAAAAAGTTATATATTGAGAAACAAGAGACTGAGGATACATCACATAGTTGTGATATCCTAGGTACCGCTTATTTTCAATTACTTGGGAACCAAATCATTGCCCAGTTTTAAACCGAGGTGGACTGGGTACAAGTCGGTTTATTATGGGATGAACAACACGAGACCAGGGCTCCTAACGAGACCCACATAGTCAGGAAGAGCCCATTGACGCTAGGAAAAATCTCAAGGGCTAATATTGAAGGACGTCCATATCTAGCCACATTTATGAAAAACGCACCAGCGGGATCCTGGAGGCCAGACACCTTAAACTGACTTAACGAAAGTAAGTATTGCCAAGAAACTCAGCTCTTACCCATAGGCTTCCTAAGGTGACTCTCTTCATGGTTCCTGATTAGCAAAAGAAACATTCAAGTCCATTAAAAAGACACTCTGGACTTGGCCATACACTCTAGCTGCTTGAAGGCTCTAAATGATAGAGGATGCTTGAGACTTAACCAAGTTCTAAGCAGAGAATTCAAGGTTAAATCACCCCAGCCTGGCACGTGCTTGAGGGGAATGCTTTCATTGGCCAATGGGCCTCAAACATTAATAGAATTTGACATGACAAACTAAAGGCAGACATGACGAGCGCACTGACTCTCAAAGAGCAAGACTAACGGACAGTACCACGCTTTTGCATCACCCTCCCCCCCCTCCACGGATTGACATGGAGGCCCCTTCTCAACCCATGAGCATGACAATGAGACCAACCAGAATAGCAATCCCTCATGTTTTTTCTGTGCGAATATTCTGGTCCGTTTTGAGGTATGTGTTCAAAAATTCGGCTAGATGTATATATATATATATATATATATCATATTTTTAGCGCTAAATAAGAAGACATAAGCCGTTTCTCGCGTTGCTAGGTGGTCGCTTCTCGTACTCCTACTTTTTTAATAGACAGACCGAAAACTGGACTCAAGTTACTTAACAGGCAAGCCTGTTGTGCCTGTTGAATAAGAGAGACGCGTATTAGATATGGAGGAACCCATTTATTAGTATGAAGGAACACACTTTTTGAGAGGGAATCCAGCATATGTAATGAGGGGGCCGGGGTGAATCAACTTTTTTTGCGAGGGAATCCTGCATATGTAATGAAGGGAATCCACCTTCTGCGGGGGGAATCCAGAGGGATTCCACCAAAACGACGTAAAATGCTGAAGCATAACTACTGATATGGTTCTCGCGCCGGCGCAAAAGTTATCCGCGATAAGTGCGAACAGAGCCTAAATAACCATGGCAACGATTGTAAAGGTGCACCGAGTCGCAGCTGCACATTGTCTAGACAATGACGAAACCTTTCAAATTTACTCTCTTTAAATTTCAGCGATGCTGCCAACACGTACTTTTCTAAAATATTAAAGGCATCCGTGCGAAACGTATATTGCTGATTCACTAACAGTTGCTTTGGGGATTGGGAATTGCCCAATGCGAAGAGCTGCGAGGCTATTGTTTCTTGATCACTAAAGCACAATTAGCATAATTACGGTGAGTTCCCTAAGCACAAATGCCCAAAGGCCACGTTCGATGTATTAAAATTCTAACATGATTCCGAGGCTTTATGGTCATTGTTAACTCGTAGATTACTCGTAGCGTAAGGAACGCCGCGTTATTGTGGGCACTGCCTTATGCAAATATGTCACCCAGATGTAGAACGCACTTCGTAATTATTCGGCTCGCACCAAAGTGCCCGATATTAAAACGACAATTGTCGTAGATGGATCGTTCCCAAACGAAGTGCTGAGCGTGCATTGTGCCCAGAGCTTTTGATGTTATGATTTTGTAGCTTCCATAGGACGAGAAGTTGTCTTCATGTGGACTTTGAATGTTACAAATTAGCTCTATGGTCAATTTTGTGACAGTCGAAGGTTATGAACTTTTGAAGCTTTTTGACTCGTTTAGGCAATAAGCATGATGAAGACATCAGAAATTGCTCTTCGACTCCCCAAGCGGGTCCAAGCTCACAATTCTGCTGTGAGTCAAACGATTCAGTTTTAACCTTTCCCACGGCCCCACTACAAGACTCCGAATCTCACAGTTTTTTAGGAAACATTATTCTGAAATGAAATGTCTCTTTGTTGAATAAAAACAGAAATGTTTATTGTTGCTGAATCGTAATTCTTCTCATGTAAATGCAGAACAACGCCGTCTGCAAGAGACTTAGAGATGGTTTTGCTTCGTCGACCATTTCAAATGCAACGAAATGAGTTAAAATACAACTTTTACCGCCAAAACCCTGCTTATTTTCCTCGAATATAGCTTAGCTTTGAATTATTCATAAATAAAGCTCTACCAGCATCAAACAACGTTTACTGGCAGAATTTCATGAGCGAAAACGCTAGAAATAGTTGATTTTGCAGTTGAGTTCACCCTTCGTGGTGTGGCGCAATAGATATATATTAGCGAGCACGTTTCAATTTCTCTCCAGCAAAAGTCTCTATCAGGAGAGTAGCCAGGAATTTTCAGCTGCGCGCACAATTTTCAAAACTTAGTACCCTAACTTCTTACTCAGTTCTCTCGTAACGTTTGCCGATTACATTTGCTAATTCTGTTAACTAGGTGAGGTTATGCGTGGATGAAATGGCACTTGCAATCGGT